TCAGTAATACCCACCCAGGGCACTGGAACCCATCAGGCTCCTCTGTCCAAGGGATTTCCCAGGAAAGAATACTGGAGTGGGTTGCCATTTCCTTCTCCAGGGGATCTTCTCAACCCAGAGATGGAAACCTCAAAACAGTGTCTCTTGCATCTCCTGCATTGACATGCAAATTCTTTACCACTGAGCCACCTGGGAAATCTTACTCAATGCTAATGTTTAGCCAAATATCTGGGAACCCCTTAATCCAGTCAAGTTGATACATAAATTAACCATCACACCACTGGATAGTGTGCAATAATTAATGTATTAAATATTTCAACTCACATAACCTACTAGAAATATAAACAGAAAGGTACTGAAAATTATGATGCCACTAACTACAAAACCATCAGGGCCATAATGGAGAGAGATCAGCACATGTGATTTATCATACAGTAATTATCATTGTCTTCATTTACAAAATTCCTTTAAAAACCAAGTACAAGTCAATAACATCCTTTTAAAATTGCATTGTGTTCTCATAATTTTCAATATTCAATTGTTTGTATTTTATAAATATCCTTTATATGTTATATGTTAAATATTTTCTTAGATATGTTAAGGGAATAAAAGACCATAACATTATGTAACCATCCAGATTACTTAAGTTAAAAATTCTATGATGTAAGGAAATGTAAACTTTGGCTTGGCTTTCTCACTTTAGCTGACTGTTAACACTGGGCTTTTTTATTTATAAGAGAAAAGGTAGCATAATTTAATTGTATTATACAGTTCTCATCTTAATCACATTACTAATATTTGTAAGACTTCTATACTTTTTAATTTCTGAGGATTAGATAATATTTAGAGAAATTATATTCTTTAACATACATTTAGGGAAATTATGTATATTCATAAAAATACTATATCTGCTTTAGAGAACCTTTATGTACAAAATTTAATCTCCCTAACCTTTCCCATTGACTGCCCATGAGTATAACCCATTATTTTAAGTTAAGCTTCCTTTTATATTCTTACTACCATGACTTCTATATGCTATACTATGTGGAACATTTATTAAACCCAGAATGCTTAATATTCTATATTGGCCATTATGGGCATTTATGTTAATAGATTGCATATCAGAGCTAATTGTTTTCCCATGTCAAAAATGCTAGTAGAATGTCTCAGTTATTGTATCAATAATTCATCATTACAAATCAAATAAAACATCACTTACCAGAAAGGACTTTTCAACATTTGAATTAGCCTTAGTTTATCAATAACATACAGTCTGTTTTTTTAATCATTCAAAAAATACCAGAAGTCGGTCAGGGAGTTTTCTATCTATAAGGATCCAAAATTGCACCTATATGAATTTTTTTTTTTTACTTTTTTCTCTTTTTCTTTCTCTCGCTTTTTTTTTTTTTTTAAACAAAGGATTTACTAGCACTCCATAAAGAATTTTCAAATGTTTCTGAACTTCAAGAACATGGTATTTTATAGAGACTCTCTTAAGAATGAGATATAATGTCTGAAGCAATTGCTGGAAGGATCAAACTCATTAATTGTAACAAGCCTGTCTGCCTGCACATGATAGCTGGTTACTGTGCAGACAGCTACTAGGAATGATGATCCAAGTTTCTAACAGTGCTGTAAGTAATTTAAAACATATTGCTCCACTGTACAGATGTTTAATAGTGATGTCAACTTTGCATCTGAGAAAGTAAATGATGTGTAGAGAGGTTTGTTTGGAAAAATAGCTACAAGTTTTCATTATCTGCTAGGGGAAAAAGGCTTTAGTAAAATAATTCTTTGATTCTATTACAGTGGTAAAACAGACCTATGTGTTAAGGTGTCTCTATTTTATCCAACTAATTTAGAGAGTAAGACATTGAGCTTGATATGAGATTAGCATATTCAATCAACCAAAGTTTACTACATTGTAAGACATTGAAGGGTAGAAGAATATCCCACCTCAAAATATGTCACTTTGGCATAAGAATTAGTTTGAGCTAAAGGCACTAAAAACAGTAGATGCAAGAAGAGTGAGCATTCAAATATCCTTTTCTTCCTGAGACAAGAGATTAAAAACTCCCATGTGAAAGATGTGTTCCATGTACTAGGAGGAAAGAAATATTTTTCGACTGGGAATCGAAGCTGAGAGAAAATAAGAATGCTGAAGAGAATAAACAGACTTTGTTAAAATAATTTTTTTAATGGGTTCACTTACTTTAATAACACTACATTTACTATGTTATCACCATGGAATGTAAATTCAGATTAGACAAGAGAATTTCACAAGTACAGCAAAGCATTCTGTGATATACCAAAAGTTTGTGTAAGGTCTGACCAAACCAGCTTGCTCATCAATCAATTCCATTATAGCCATTTTATTTAGTTGATGATTCTTTCAGAGAAAATAAATCCACTGCACACATTTAAAAGTGTTTTTCATTTACCTTTGCATTAGCACTTAAAACATACATTTGTTTAAAAATAACATTTAAAGTTATTCTAATATAATAGCAGCAAACGGAGAAGGCAATGGCACCCTACTCCAGGACTCTTGCCTGGAAAATCCCATGGACAGAGGAGCCTGGTAGGCTGCAGTCCATCAGGTCGCTAAGAGTCAGACATGACTGAGCGACTNGTGTTCTTGCCTGGAGAATCCCAGGGACGGGGGAGCCTGGTGGGCTGCCGTCTACGGGGTCGCACAGAGTCGGCCACAACTGAAGCAAGTTAGCAGCAGCAGCAGAATATAATTCCGCAATTACAAAAGAGCTAAAAGGGATCTACAATATAAGTTATTCTCAGGTCCACAACTATGATTCTAAAATAAATACTACTTCAAAGTGGCTCTGTCACCAGCTTTTTAGGTTTGGCTTAAAAACACACAGACTTTCAGGGAGGTTGAAAAAGTTCGTATTCCATGCTCTGTTCTGAAAGGGTTCCTCAAGAGCAAACCAGCCCTTAAAACAGTACTCAGTAATTGGGGGGAAAAAATAAGAACAACAAAAACAAACAAACAAACAGTACTCAGTCTACAAGAAAGTCAGAAAGTTAAATTAACTGGGGTAAATAGGCTTCCAACATTACATCAAAAGCATATGATATTCTGCAGCAACTGGGAGCATTTTCAGGATTAGCATGTGGTCTTCTTTGGAACTAATTCCAAGAGAAGAGTTTAAGAAGGTGGACAGGTACCATTATCAAGTGTAGTTAAAAGTGACGTTACTTTTGTGCTGACCTGACTCCCCTGAATGATCTAGCTACTGAACTAGTCACCAGTAACTTGGTCATTATGCAAATTAAGGAAACCAGAAAGGAAACCAATATACAAATTACCATGTCCTTGTCTGACCCGAACAATTTATTTTCAATATAAACATTTTAACTTCAATATGAGATGTCTAACTAAGCAAGCTCCACCACCACCAAGACCAAGATAGCATTCCTCTTCTAAGGTTTAGGTTTTGCCCAGAATTCTTGATACAGGAACTAGGCCATTGCATCATAGAGTCATTGCTGTCACAACAAAGCCTTGGGCTGCCACATGCATGTGGATCAGGTGAATAGACATTTTAGTATTTCCCCTGCTCTTCAGTCTGTATAATCCATATGCAAAATTGCTGCAAAACCTGCCATTCCAACAGGGACAATTGGTGCCTTTCTAGATTTTTGGATAATTTTAGATCCCTGATCTTCATTATATGAAGAAATAGAAATATCTGTGCACTTGACATAGTAATTGAAGAATCTTCAGACAACTACAAGACGTTTCATGTTCCTACTGGCTTAAAACTTTGTTAAAATAATTATCATCTTGCTTTAGCCTCCCCATATATTTCAGTTACTTTTCTACAATTGTCTCTCTTTGTTCAAACTAGTATAAATGTAGTTAGATTTTGCCATTTTTTGGGGTCTTTTTTCATTTCCTTTTAAGGGCTCCTCTGTCACAACTTACATAAATATGTATGCTTTTCTCTTATTAAATCTATTTTTTGATGTTGTTCTGTCTCTCAGTCATGTTCGACTCTGTGATCCCATGGACTGCAGCATGCCAGGCTTCCTTGTCCTTTACCATCTCCCAGAGCTTGCTCAAACTCATGTCCATTGAGTCAGTGATGCCATCCAACCGTCTCATCCATTGTCATCCCCTTCTCCTACTGTCTTTAAACTTTACCAGTATCAGGGGGTTTTAATCTATCTGTTTTATGTCAATTTAATTCTCAGGCACATCTGGATAAAAGTTAAAGGGGTTTAACATCCAAGAGGTTAAAGGCAAAATTTTGTTTCACCTACATCATTAATGAAGACTATATTTGGTATATTTTGTACAAAAACTACTTAGGATTGAAAAAAACAGCATATGCAATCAGCTTTACCACTTTGTAAAGATGAAAATGAGATGTATGCATGTGCTCAAGGAAGACTGAGGAGAAAAATGACGCATATATCTTTCAGAGGATAGTATAAATTGAACTGTATGGAAGAACTAAGAGGAGAGGCATGTTCGAAGAGCAAAATGATTGACATATTCTTTATCTTATCCAGTGGAATGAATACAGTGGATTTCTAAATGCACAGAAACTTTCTTTCTATGTTCTGTGTTCAAGAAAGTTTCGACTATTTATATTAGGTCTGCTGTGTTGATTTCTGATAACATTCATATTTGGCACATCGTTATTTTTGTTTTTTCATATTTTCAGAGAAACCATACATATTTTAATGTTTATTTAAATAATACATCAGTCTTAAACTATTATTGAGTTTTCATTAGCTTTATCTTCCCTCTTGGTGTAGTCCATCCTGTCCATTTACAATTAATTGAAAATCTGGTTTCATAAGCTGCCAGTGGGCTACCTGGCAAGGGAGGTTCCTTGTTTATACCCTAAATTCCTAGTTTCATCTACAAAGTTTAGAAAAGTACTTGTGAAGATAGAATGATGCAGCCACAAACTCTAAGGCATACTTCATAATTAAGTTCCTAGAACCATCTCCTGATTCCAGTCAAGTTGGGATTCCAAAAAGTAAATTGAGTGTCTGCGGTATATACATTATTAGATATTCAGAAAGAAATGCTAAGTCATGGATCACAGAAGGTAGTAAGTGCAGACAAGGAGATACTAGTGTTTTATGGCAAGTGAAAAACACATGACACTGCCTCAGATTCTGAACTTAAATTAGTAATGGTAGTATTACATATGTTTGCCACTGTATGTCTCAGTTTTAAAAATCAAAACTGTTCCTCATAATGTTATACATTTTTTATAGTATAATACAGTCTAGTACATAAATGTTATACAAAAGAGGTTATTTCAATTATGTGTTTATTAGTATTAGCCAACATTTTTCTTGCTAACATATTTCACATTCCTTTATCACCACCAATATTTGGTTTTCTGACAAAGTCTTATTGATAATTGTTGAAATAATACTCAATAGGAAAAATATGCTAAGAAAAGCTAAAATTTGAATAAAAATAGTATAAATATTCAATAGTATATATAAATTTTTTTAATTAAAAAATGTATATTTATTTTTGGCTGACCTGTGTCTTGGTTGCTAGGTGAGTTTTCTTTAGTTTAGTGAGCAGGGGCTACTCTCTGCTTGTGGTGTGTGGGCTTCTCATGTAGAGCACAGGCTCTAGGCCCGCAGGTTTTAGTAGTTGTAGCTCAAGGGTTCTAGAGCATTGACTCAGTTGCGGTGCACTGGCTTAGCCATCCTGCAGGCATGTGGAATCTTACAGCACGGATCCAATCCATGTCCTCTCAACTGACAGGCTAATTCTTAACCACTGGACTGCTATCGAAGTCCTAACTTTAAAAAAATTATCAGTGAATTCCTTGCGACAAGCTAAATGTGGAACAATGGTACATGAAAAAGCTACTTTATAAAATTAAGAGGGTTCTAAAGAGGGTAAAGTGTACTCCTACAAAAGAGAGGCAATTCTGAAAGAGTTTGGTAGTCCATTATGATTAAAATATCCAGAATATATGGAAGCCAGAGACACAGTTTTAATGAAAGTGAGTATCAGGAAGTAAAATATAAATTTTCACATCTGAATTTTCATACCAAACTCTACTTCAAGGGAACATGACCTAAGATAAGCATCAGGAATATCTTAATTTTATAGCTAAGGAGGTGATGGTATTATTGTAGTTTGATAGCTGTATTCTGTTCATATTTTAATTCTAATCTGTTGGTTTCCAAGCCTCCCTTTAAGATGGACTGGGGCTTTTAATAAGAGACTTACCTAAAATAAACTCTGTTAATGGATTTGCTATAGGGCTTTCTAAACTCACGCTTTTATTAAAGATAATTAAGAACTATTACCCATAAATGTAAATATTTAACATATTATGAATAGTGAAATATTACTGAAAGTATATCTTTTGTTTTCATGGCCACAGTGGGGTTTTTTGTTTTTTTTTTAACCAGAAAAATGGGTTCATTTGGGAAAGTATTTCAATTTGGGACAAGCAGACTATAGAAAAAGCCATAGGCAAGTCCATCAAAGAGGAACTTTATTTTATAGAGAAAAGGAGGAAGTTGGAAAAGCTTGTTTTGAATAAGTCCCTTGGAGGAAAGCAAGAATTCTAGGTGATGATGTGTTCTCACTGGCTTATTTACTGGGGTAGTTGACACAACAGTGTGTTGAGAGTAGAAATTTTCATACACTTAATGTTTTCTTTGACTGCAACTTGCATGTGAGTTTGTACTTATTATCTGCATGAAAGCTACATAAAGCCCACTGTGGTTGCCTTAAACAGGACATTAGCTTCCTCAAAACATTAAACATCAATAGAATTTGACCACCCAGTTATGTTCTAAGAAATAACCCACTTTTCTTTATGAATTAAATATCTAAATAATTGAATTAAATATGATTCCTATTTTGTCTAATCCCTATTTGTAAATTAGGAACGTCACTCTGCTTTAATGCAAATATCCATTAGAGCTGTATATTTTCTTTTAAAAAATTACATATTACTCATCTAGAAAGTTGAATCTAATTTGGTCCAATATTTAGTTAACTAATTCTGGTAAATAAAATTACATTAATTTTATATTCTATTATTGGCTCTAAAGTAAAATGTCTTGGAAATAAATATTTTTAGAGACTAGATAAACCTGTTATCTCCATTTCAGTTAGTGTTACTCACTGAGATGTTCAAATCAGAAATGTGATAATCATCTTTTATTCTCTCTTATTCCTTACCTTGACACATGGACTATAGTATCCACTGCTAAATACTAATTATTTTACCTTCAGAATATATCTTGAATCTATATACTTTTTAACTCCACTGGTAATACTCTAGTTTGAGCCATTGGCCATTGTAGTTGCTCATCTAAACTGTGAAAGCAGCTCCCTAAATAGATTCTTCTCTTGCTTTTTATAGTACCACTTTTTCCTACATAGCAGTTAAAAGAGCTATTTTTATTAAATCTATATTAATAGTTTCCTGCTTATAAATTTTAGTTTCTTGCTTATACATTTTCAATGGGTGCTCATATTATTCAGAATAACTTGGGACTCTTAGTGTAGTAGGTTAAGGTGTGGCCCCCCAAAAGATATGCCCAAGCCCTAACTCCCTCTATCTGTAAGTATGATCTTTTTGAAAATAGGTATTTTCAGATGTAATTAAGCTAAAATTTTCAAATAAGACCCTTCTGGATTTAGAGTGGATTTTAATGCAATGACTAGCATTATAAGAAAAGATTTGGGGCACAAGGAGTCATAGGAGAAGGTGAGCTGATGATGCAAGCAGACTGGAAGACAATCACAAGTCAAGGAATGAAAGGAACTCCGGCAACCACCAAAAGGTAGGAGGGATGAATGCTTCCTTAGCATCCTTAGAGGGAGTGTGGTTCTGCAGACACCTTGATTTCAGATTTCCATCTGTTAGAACTGTCGAAGAATAAATTTATATATTTTTTAGCCACCAAATTTGTGGTAATTTGTAACAGAAATCCTAGGAAACCAATACACACTAAGTGACTTACAAACCTCAGTAAGGTGTTGTTTTACTATATCAATCCAAACCTCATTTCATGGCATTCTCCTCTGCATTCATTACACATGACTGTTTATGTTCGTAAAATATACCATAATTTTTGCACTGGCTGTTCTCCTTGCCAAGAATGCTCTTTACCCAGATCCTCCAAGGCAGCATTTCTCATACTTCAGGTTTCAGTTTAAATGTCATCTGCCAAGTGAGAATACCCCTATCAATAGCAAAATTTGCTTATTATTTCATCAACTATAAAAGTAACTATTTATGTCCTTGTAATATAATAGCTTGAATTTTGCAATGTTTGTTATTTACGTTCTCTACATTTCTTAGTCTGTACAATTCTTGAGAGTGGATAATATGTATTGAGATTTCCAAACAGTATTCTATATCCAGTTCCTGACATAAGGCCTAATATTAAAATACTCAATAATTGTGCACTGAATGAGTGGATGAAGGAATTAAGTTTCTCAATCATTGAGAAAAGCCCTTAATATGTTTTTCAGACAAATGTGCACTGCTTAGTTTTGGAAATATTAACTATAAGCATAAATTCACTTGAAACATTTCCTAGTAAATAACACGGATCTGGGAAAACTTGGGTCCAATATATGTATTTCTCAGTACTTCTTTCAGAATATTTCCAGTACCTCACAGAACTGTGCTGCGATGTCACATTTCAATAATAGATGCTGCATTTTTGCCTGTTATGTGTTTAAGTCTGAAACCAACTTTATTAAAAATCATTAACTTACAGAAAAAAAAAATGAGAACCTGGCTTTATCAATACCTTAAATATCTAAGATAAATATTTACTTCTATCTTAGAAAATAATAGTAAACTTCTTAGAAGAATAATTTCTCATGAATTAAAAACAAACAAACAAACAAACAAACAAACATTCCTTGGGTTTCCCAGGTGTCAGAATGGTAAAGAGCCCACCTACAAGTGCAGGAGACAGAAGAGAAGCGGGTTTGGTTCCTGGGTCAGGAAGATCCCCTGGAGCAGGAAATGACAACCCAGTCCAGTATTCTTGCCTGGAAAATCAAATGGACAGAGAAGCCTGGTGGGCTACAGTCCATGGGGTCACAAATTTGGACATGACTGATCAAACACACACACACAGAAACCTAGTTGTACTAAATTAACTTGAGTTGCTCATTTAAAGTTACTTGCAATGTCAAAGCAAAGAACCCCTTCAGTTCAGTTCAGTTCAGTCTCTCAGTCATACCCAACTTTCACGACTCCATGAACTGCAGCACGCCAGACCTCCCTGTCCATCACCTACACCCGGAGTTTACTCAAACTAATGTCCATCTAGTTGGTGATGCCATCCAACAATCTCATTCTCTGTCATCCCCTTCTCCTCCTGCCCTCAATCTTTCTCAGCATCAGGGTCTTTTCAAATGAGTCAGCTCTTTGCACCAGGTGGCCAAAGTACTGGAGTTTCAGCTCCATCAATAGTTCTTCCAATGAACACCCAGGACTGAACTCTTTTAGGATGGACTGGTTGGATCTCCTTGCAGTCCAAGGGACTCTTAAGAGTCTTCTCCAACACCACAGTTCAAAAACATGAACTCTTTGGCACTCAGCTTTCTTTATAGTCCAACTCTCACATCCATACATGACCACTGGAAAAACCATAGCCTTGCCTAGACAGACCTTTGTTGGCAAAGTAATGTCTCTGGTTTTTAATAGCTGTCTAGGTTGGTCATAATGTTCCTTCCAAGGAGTAAGCATCTTTTAATTTCATGGCTGCCATCACCATCTGCAGTGATTTTGGAGCCCCCCAAAATAAAGTCAACCACTGTTTCCCCTGTTTCCCCATCTATTTGCCATGAAGTTGAAAGAGTCATTTCCTAGGCAGATTGATAAGAAGTCTAGGGGTCTTCAAAGAGAGAGGTCTGGAATACTCAAGGAGAAAGAAAGGACAAATTGTAACTTTTTTTCCTCTACATTCCTTGGGATTATATAACAATAATGTATCCTTCCTGAGGACAGTCTCTGGATTAAACCCTCTGGCTAATTCTGTTATCTTAAAACATAAATTATGGGAGTAGGTCTGGTCTTTACAAGGATGCATCCTGTCTGAGGACAGTCTTTGGATTAAACCTTCTGGCTAATACTGTTATCTTAAAATGTGAATTATGGGAGTAGGTCTGGTGAGGTCTTTAACAACCTCCAGACATTCTTTGGATTCACTGGAGAGTATATAACTCCATTGCTAACACTAGCAAGTCCGTACTCTTTCCACCCCCTTCTGATGTCTATGTCAGAAGCTTTCTCTATTTCCTTTATACTTTAATAAAACTTTATTACACAAAAGCTCTGAGCAATCCAGCCTCATCTCTGGCCCCAGATTGAATTCTTCTCCTCTGGAGGCCAAGAACCCCAGCATCTTTGCGTGATTCAGCAACAACTTTTCAAAGTGATGGGGCCAGATGCCATGATCTTAGTTTTGTGAATGTTGAGCTTTAAATTACATTTTCACTCTCTTCTTTCACTTTCATCAAAAGGCTCTTTAGTTCCTCTTCAATGTCTGCCATAAAGGTGGTGTCATCTGCATATCTGAGGTTATTGATATTTCTCCCAGCAATCTTGATTCTAATTTGTGCTTCATCCAGCCCAGTATATCTCACGATGTACTCTGCATATAAGTTAAATAAGCAGTGTGACAATATACAGCCTTGACGTACTCCTTTTCCTATTTGGAACCACTGTGTTGTTCCATGTCCAGTTCTAACTGTTACTTTCTGACCTGCATACAGATTTCTCAAGAGGCAGGTTAGGTAGTCTGGTATCCCCATCTCTTGAAAAGTTTTCCATAGTTTGTTGTGATCCACATAGTCAAAGGCTTTGGCATAGTCAGTAAAGCAGAATTAGATGTTTTTCTGGAACTCTCTTGTTTTTTCAGTGATCCAGCAGATATTGGCAATTTGATCTCTGGTTCCTCTGCCTTTTCTAAAACAAGCTTGAACATCTGGAAATTCATGGTTCACATATTCCTGAAGTCTAGCTTGGAGAATTTTAAGCATTACTTTACTAGCATGTGAGATGAGTGCAATTGTGCAGTAGTTTGAGCATTCTTTGGTACTGGCTTTCTTAGGCATTGGAGTGAATACTGACATTTTCCATTTCTGTGGCCACTGCTGAGGTTTCCAAATTTGCTGACATACTGAGTGCAGCACTTTCACAGCATCATCTTTCAGGATTTGAAATAGCTCAACTGGATTTCATCACCTCCACTAGCTTTGTTGGTACTGATGCTTCCTAAGGCCCACTTGACTTGACTTTCCAGGATGTCTGGCTCTAGCTGGGTGAACACACCATCGTTATTATCTGGGTCGTGAAGATCTTTTTTGTACAGTTCTTCTGTGTATCCTTGCCACCTCTTCTTAATATCTTCTGCTTCTGTTAGGTCCATACAATTTCTGTCTTTATTGAGCCCATCTTTGCATGAAATGTTACCTTGGTATCTCTAATTTTTTTGAAGAGATCTCTAGTCTTTCCCATTCTATTGTTTTCCTTTATTTTTTTGCACTTATCACGGACGAAGGCTTTCTTATCTCTCCTTGCTATTCTTTGGAAATCTGCATTCAAATTGGTATATTTTTCCTTTTCTCCTTTGCTTTCCACTTCTCTTCTTTCACAGCTATTTGTAAGGCTTTCTCAGATAGCCATTTTGTTTTTTTGCATTTCTTTTTCTAGGAGATGGTTTTGCTCCCTGTCTTCTGTACAATGTTACGAACCTCTGACCATAGTTCACCAGGTACTCTATCAGATCTAGTCCCTTAAATCTATTTCTCACTTCCACTGTATAATCATAAGGGATTTGACTTAGGTCATACTTGAATGGTCTAGTGGTTTTCGCTACTTTCTTCAATTTAATTCTGAATTTAACAATAAGGTGTTCATGATCTGAGCCACAGTCAGCTCCCAGTCTTGTTATTGTTGACTTATAGAGCTTCTCCATCTTTGGCTGCAAAGAATATAATCAGTCTGATTTCGGTGTTGACCATCTGGTGATGTCCATGTGTAGAGTCTTTTTTTGTGTTGTTGGAGGAGGGTGTTTGCTATGACAAGTGTGTTCTCTTGGCAAAACCCTACTAGCCTTTTCCCTGCTTCATTCTGTACTCCAAGGACAAATTTGCCTGCTACTCCAGATGTTTCTTGACTTGCTACTTTTGCATTCCAGTCCCCTATAATGAAAAGGACATCCTTTTTGGGTGTTAGTTCTAAAAGGTCTTTTAGGTCTTCATAGAACCATTCAACTTTAGTCTTCAGCATTACTGGTTGGGACATAGACTTTGATTACCGTGATACTGAACCCCCTTGACTATGTTAATATGTTAGTTACTGTGAAAATAAGAGATTCAATAAATATGTAGTGAAACAGTCACAAGAGAAAAACAAATTTCATGCTTAGAGGAAGAGTGTTAAGTTTAAAAACCTTTATTTATTTGTACTGAACAGACATTTGGACTCTGGGAGAAGGTGAGGGTGGGATGTTTCGAGAGAATAGCATTAAAACATGTATATTATCTATAGTGAAACAGATCACCAGCCCAGGTTGGATGCATGAGACAAGTACACTGGGAAGACTCAGAGGGATTGGGTAGAGAGGGAGGTGGGAGGGGGGATCGGGATGGGGAATACATGTAAATCCATGGCTGATTCATGTCAATGTATGACAAAACCCACTACAATATTGTAAAGTAATTAGCCTCCAACTAATAAAAATAAATGAAAAAAAAACAGAAAAAAAACCTTTATTTCTTAACATTTATTAGATATATAAAACCTCTTATCTTATAAACTTATTTTTAAAAGTTTTTGAGCTAAATGAATAAAAACAATGAGTTCTTAAAGACATGGGGTAAAATAAAACAGGCAAAACTTTAATAACTAAAAGGCATGTTTTTCATAATTTACACATTTTTATGGAAATGCTAAAGGTCCTATAGATTTATTAATATTTTACTCAGCTTGATTCATACCATATCTGTAGAATGATGATGATAGAAGCATATAAATTTTCTGTCCTTTGTACACGATCAGCACATTCCCAGAAAAATCCCATTAACTATCATTTGAGACTATAAAGAGGTAACATAGAATACAGTGTAGCACCATCTCTCTAACTGAATCCCATTGCCTGTACAATTTTTTTTCTTTTTTTTGTATTGCAGGATTCTTTGCACCGTTATCAAGGAATTTTAAACTCAAATAGCAACATGCTTCATTATTCTCTGACCTGAGAACTACTGGTATTTTCATGCCTTGATGTCTGATGAAATGTATGTTGTTATAAATGTTACTTGCTGTGTTAGCCAGTCTCCAAGATGACCCAATGATCTCTGCTTGCTGATATTCATGTCTTTGTGTTGTCCCTGTAAACACTGAGTCAGCACTGGTGTATATGGCTATAGAATATGACAGAAGAAATAATATGTAACTTCAGACATTTTGGCTTCTGTCTCTAATTCTTTCCTTTTTACCTCTTTGCCTATTTGCTCTAGGGAGCTTCAGAAAGAAGTCAGCTGCCATGTTTTAGGGAGAGGTCTATGAGGTGGGGAACTGAAGCCTCCTGCCAGTAGCCAAGGAGGAAGTATGAAATGAAATAGATCCTTCAACACCAGTTGGGCCTTCATGTGACTGTAGCCCTGTCCAATATCTGGACTTCAACTTCAGGACACTGCTAGCTAAAACCATTCACTTTAAATTCCTAACATAGAAATTGTGAGATAGTAAACATTTGATGTTTAAACCAATAAATTTGGGGTAATTTCATATACAATAATAGATAACAAATACATATACCACACACACAGATATTTATATCATATTATATTTGAAAACAGAATAATAGTGAGTTGTGATAAGAAATACTGAAAAAGTTCACAAATGTATTATATAAATATTGTTAAGTGTTTAGATAAAGTATGACCTTACCACAATTAACTTGACCTAATCAATTGTCAGTTGTGAGTGTGTTGGTCACTCAGTTGTGTACAATTCTTTACAATCCCATGGAATGTAGCCCACCAGGCTCCTCTGTCCATGGAATTCTCCAGGCAAGAATACTGTAGTGGGTAGCCATTCACTTCTCCAGGGGATCTTCTGGACCCAGAGATCTACCTGGGTCTCCTGCATTGCAGACCAATTCTTTAACATCTGAGTCACAGGGAAGCCCAAAATACTGAATCAAATAACTGTTTTGTTATGTAACAGACTTTAAATGTGATCAGATATGAAACCTACCCAGTAAGTTTCCTTAGGGCTTAGGAGTTATCACTTCAAGTTCAGTCGCTCAGGCGTGTCCAAACCTTTGCGACCCCATGGGCTGCAGCATGCTAGGCCTCCCTGTCCACACAAACTCCCAGAGTTTCCTCAAACTCATGTACATTGAGTTGGTGATGCCATCCAACCATCTCATTCTCTGTCATCCCCTTTTCCTCCTGCCCTCAATCTTTCCCAGCATCAGGGTCTTTTCCAATGAGTCAGCTCTTCACATCAGGTGGCCAAAGTATTGGAGTTTCAGCTTCAGCATCAGTCCTTCCAATCCACACCCAGGACTGATTTCCTTTAGGATGGACCGGTTGGATCTCCTTGCAGTCCAAGGGACTCTCAAGAGTCTTCTCCAACATCACAGTTCAAAAGCATAAATTCTTCTGCGCTCAGCCTTCTTTATAGTCCAATTCTCACATCCATACTTGACTACTGGAAAAATTGTAGCCTTGATTAGACGTATCTTTGTTGGCAAAGTGATGTCTCTACTTTTTAATATGCTGTCTAGGTTGGTCATAAATTTTCTTCCAAGGAGCAAGTGTCTTTTAGTTTCATGGCTGCAGTCACCATCTGCAGTGATTTTGGAGCCCAAGAACATAAAGTCTGCCACTGTTTCTACTGTTTCTCCATTCATTTGCCATGAGGTGATGGGACCGGATGCCATGATCTTATTTTTCTGAATGTTGAGCTTTAAGTCAACATTCTCACTCTCCTCTTTCATTTTCATGAAGAGGCTCTTTAGTTCCTCTTCACTTTCTGCCATAAGGGTGGCGTCATTTGCATATCTGAGGTTATTTATATTTCTCCCCAAAATCTTGATTCCAGATTGTGCTTCATCCAGTCCAGGATTTCTGATGATGTTCTATGCATATAAGTTAAAAAAGCAGGGTGACAATATACAGCCTTGAAATACTCCTTTCCCAATTTGGAACCAGTCTGTTGTTCCATGCCCAATTCTAACTGTTGCTTCTTGACCTGCATACAGACTTCTCAGTAGGCAGGTCAGGTGGTTGATATTCCCATCTCTTTCAGAATTTTCCACAGTTTGTTGTGATCCACACAGTTAAAGGCTTTGGCATAGTCAATAAAGTAGAAGTAGGTGTTCTTCTGGAACTCTCTTTTCCTTTTTTGATGATCCAATGGATGTTGACAGTTTGATCTTGGCTTCTGCCTTTTCTAAATCCAGCTTAAATGTCAGGAAGTTCATGGTTCACGTACTGTTGAAGCCTGGCTTGGAGAATTTTGAGCATTACTTTGCTAGTGTGTGAGATGCGTGCAATTGTGTGATAGTCTGAGCATTCTTTGGCATTGCTTTTCTTTGAGATTGGAATGGAAACTGACCTTTTCCAGAACTGTGGCCACTGCAGAGCTTTCCGAATTTGCTGGCATATTGAGTGCATCAGTTTCACAGCATCATCTTTGAGGATTTGAAATAGCTCAACTGGAATTCCATTACTTTCACTAGCTTTGTTTGTAGTGATGCTTCCTAAGGCCCACTTGACTTTGCATTCCAGAACATCTGGCTCTAGGTGAGTGATCACATCTTCATGGTTATCTGGGTTGTGAAGATCTTTTTTGTAGGAGTTATAAATACTTCTAATTATACATCATAGTTTATAACATACCATTTTTGAATCAATACATGTAAATTTTAAAGCAATATACCCATTAAGGAAAGAGATACAATATCCCTTAAGATATTTACATTACTTTATATTTCAGTTATTCAAAATATTACATATGAGACCTAATTTCTGTTGATAATTTTCTGTTGACAATTTGCAAATTTTTGTAAAATATATGTGTATAAATCTAAAACTAACAAAAATATGCAATGAAAGTGAAATTTGCTTAGTCATGTCTGACTCTTTGTGACAACATGGATTATACATTCCAGAGAATTCTCCAGGCAAGAATACTGAGGTGCGTAGCTGCTCCCTTCTCTAGGGGATCTTCTCAACCCAGGGATCAAACCCAGGTCTCCCACACTGCCGGTGGATTCTTTACCAGCTGGGCCATCAGAGAAGCCCAAGAACACTGGAGTAGGTAGCCTATCCCTTCTCCAGCGTTTCTTCCCCATCTAGGAATCAAACCAAGTTCTCCTGAATTGCAGAAGATTCTTTACCAGTTGAGCTACCACGGAAGCCCAAAGATGTGACAGAGGATATAAAAAAAATCAAATGAAGTGGAAGCACCCAGTGCTAGAAACTCCTGGTTCCTAAGTGTGAAGCTGCCAGTCCACAGAGTAGTTAACTGCTTCCCCAAAATGAGTGTAAATATGGGAGGGCCCACAGGATGAACAGACCTACCTCCTGTCCACTCTGGAGGGATAGAGACTGACAAAAATACCCTACCTCTTCATTTGCCCTTTTCCCTTGTTACTGTAAGTGTATGCCTTTTGTCAAAAAATGCAAGAGCAAGCTAGAGTTAAAGGGGCTCCCTGATGCAGTTCATGAAGATCACATCTCCCCAGGGCACAGAGGAGGGCAACAAATAGAGATTGGATCTAGAGGGGAAAACTAGAAATAAGCATCACATCTGCAATCACCAGTGAAAACTTGTGATATTCAGTAAGATTTCCATGGCAGTACATGATTTTATCCTTTTGAGAATGTTAACAATGAACAGCAATGTTTAAGTAAGAGAGGCTTGTACAGTAGCTCATTTTATCTTTTTTCAGTTAACAGTAAATCCAACTAAGTAAACTCCGCATTCCATATAAATTATAATCTTTCCCAAGTCCCCTTCCATTTTTTTAGCTTTCTACTATACAAACTCACTATGTGCAAGTAAACACAACTCTTTACTGGATTTATTATTCTTTCCTTTGTTTCTAGTTTCAGTGGATACCTAGTCATTAGGCAAAAAGACAGGCGGTTAATGATCTAATTTTAACATTCTCATTCTAATTACTCAGTACTCTGGTCACATCATCTATTAATTCTGTTGTCTGCTACTTGTGCAATTAATAAAATTATACTGAATAAATATGCCAGATTTTATGCACTGGGATGTTGTATATTCATGTTATTATCAAAGTATTTGAAACATTTATAAAATTGAAAACAATACATATATTAAAAAACTCCTCTCTGGTTGCCATTTCAAATATTTTAATTTCAGTTTTAAATTTTTTCTAAGTACAAAACCAATATTTCAAATAGAAGTTTATTTTACTTTACATTAACACTATTAATTACCTTAGTTTCCTTTCTCCCATTAACATAGCAGTTACTTCTAAGCAAGACCTGTTTTTTTTAATTTGTTTGCTTATATGTTTTGGATGTGCATAAATTAAAAGAGTAGCTGCCATATAGTAAGCTCTAATAAATATTTTTATGAATTAATAGGTTACATTTCATGGTATTTCTCCTCTCTTAAGAGTTGAAATGTACTAATTCTAGCTATGATTTTGTAGCAAAGACATGATCTTTAATAACCTACAGTGAAATTCAGGGACAGACAGAGATTTAAACATAAATAACTGCAAGGAGGAGAGTGAACAAGTTGGCTTAAGGCTCAACATTCAGAAAACTAAGAACATGGCATCTGGTCCCAACACTTCATGGTGGGGAAACAGTGAAAACAATGGCTGACTTTATTTTTCTGGTCTCCAAAATCACTGCAGATGGTGATTGCAGCCATAAAATTAAAAGACACTTACTCCTTGGGAGGAAAGTTATGACCGACCTAGACAACATATTAAAAAGCAGAGACATTACTTTGCCAACATAGGTCCATCTGGTCAAGACTATGGTTTTTCCAGTGGTCATGTATGGATGTGAGAGTTGGACTATAAAGAAAGCTGAGCGCCGAAGAATTGATGCTTTTAAACTGTGGTGTTGGAGAAGACTCTTGAGAGTCCCTTGGACAGCAGGGAGATTCAACCAGTCCACCCTAAAGGAGATCAGTCCTGGGTGTTCATTGGAAGGACTGATGCTGAAGCTAAAACTTCAATACTTCAGCCACCTGATGTGAAGAGCTGACTCATTGGAAAAGACCCTGATGCCGGGAAAGATTGAGGGCAGGAGGAGAAGGGGACAACAGAGGATGACATAGTTGGATGGCATCACCGACTCGATGGACATGGGTTTGGGTAGACTCCAGGAGTTGGGTGATGGACAGGGAGCCCTGGCATGCTGTGGTTCATGGGGTCACAAAGAGTCA